GGAAGACAAAAGATCGAAATTTGACCTGTCAGAAAGGGGTTCATGGAGTCAATGAAGTGCGTTCTGTACTAGAAATGGTGAAAGACGTGTTGCCTAAACTTGACATTGTCCTTAAAAAACTGGAGGCGATGGAAACAAAACTTGACAGCCTTGAAAGCTATGTCAAAAATGTGGACACTAAAAGGAACGGATTAAAGTGCACCTAACCCAAAATTCACTAAAACGAATCTACTGGTTATTTGAATCACCTCTACCAAAAAATTTTTGAATTCCATTAAATCCTCCACTGCCATTTTGTTGTCCAAGTTTGAGGAGAATGAGTCCAGCGGCTATTGTGATGTCTACCCAGGAAGGTTGAATATCTCATGTCCTCTCATTTCCTTCAGGATGGTGCAGTACACATTCGAAAAGTTCGCAGAAATGCCTTCCAGAAGTGCTATCGGCTGTTTCAGCAATATCCCAGATTTAAAGAAAGATATACTGTACAATGTACTGGTAATGATCAGTCAATGGTGCAATAAAGACATGAACAATGGTTGATTTTGTTGAACCGAAACAAGAGAACTGAGTCTGAGAGAACCATTGAAGAACTCTCACTGGAATTGTTCTGCAGACTTTCAAATGCTATTTTCGAAATTTCTGTTTAAAGCCAACCAGCAATTTATAGAAATACTACCAACAACCTATATCTTCCAATCTCGCAGTATTTATAACATAGGCGGCAAAGTTGTGTGATCAATCAAGAAGTGTTACGACTGATATTCTGATATGTAAATAGGTCGCAACTGTACGCCACCAACCAACACTTATTTCTCTTTCGATTTAGATAAAAGTTGAAGATTAATCCTTTAGAATTACATGATCACAGAGTTTTTCGGAGGTTTGGAAATCAGCAGTGTGAGAAACATTCTGTGCAATAGTGTCGAAAATTTGAGCTCGAAACATTATCTTCGGACCGCTTAGGGAACACATCCTTTTCACTTATTGGATGAATTTCACTGCAAACGTTGAGAACATTTTACATTGGTTATTTGAAGTTACAACTTAAAACGTGTGACAATGTGGAATCGGTAACTGTATGAAATGTTTACTTCTGCCTCACTTCCCACATCTTCAAAAATACAGGTCCAGACAATTCTACAATTTTCAATCGATTGAAGCCAGTGTTTTGGAGGTCATCAAGTCTCGAAAACTGCAACACTTACGTTGCTCTTATAAACATAATGCATTCCAGATAGTAAAACACAAACTGGATTTAATAGTACAGCCACACCTTGGCAAAATACATTCTTGCTAAGGACAAATGTAAACGGGGTATAAGCACGCGTGGGAATTTTGTGTTCAGGTGACGAAATTACCATCCAAAGCAGTCCTGTAGTTTTCTTTCCTGCTTTTCGTTTGCCTGCTCCTCCACTTGCTCCACTGCTTCTCCTGCACCCTGAAGGTGGAGAAGACACCAGCAAGTGTTCGTAGATTTCTTGCAGACAGAGCCTTGCTTCGATGACATGAGCGACATTTTCTTTTTTCTTTTTTAACGCCATATCTAGCTGTCCATTCCTAATATACAAGCAGTTGGTCTGCAAAGAAGTCTTCCCCGTCGTCGTTTGAAATGTTGCAAATTGCTCTCAAAGCTCTAAGCAGGGAGTTCACAGTTGTCAAACTTTTCTTTCAGAGTTTTCGGAATTGAAACTTAACTCTGACTCCAGTGACGAAAAAGAAATGATTCTGAAACAAAACTTGGACGTTTTATTCCCAAAATATATCGGAACAATTAGTTTTGTTTTCCATTCTCTCAAGCAAATACAGAGAGCTGACTGAGGACCATTGTGTTTGGTTCCTGGGTAGACATCATCAGCAACTACCACCCCAGACGCCCTAAAATGCGGTAATGCAACACTTCAAACGTGACTTTGAAAGGGCATAGAAAATCGAGAATTCAACCAAATTCAAAAATTTCTTTGCCCAAATGCTGTGAATAACAAGTGGATTCGTTTCAGCAAAAAAAAATTTGGTGTTAGGTGCACTTTAACTAGAAAGTGGAAACTGTGGAGGTGACAACAAGAAATGCAATGAAGTCTATCGAAGAGGATTGGCATTCCTGAACAGCGAGATCAAACTGCTAAAGAATTCGAAGAAAGACTGCACCACTCTCAGACAAGAGGTTTTTGTTGGTTTATAATTATTTTTATCAGTTAAGTAACAGCTAGTAAATGTTTATTGGTTGGTTCTGAATTAGATACTGAGTTCGCTTTGTTTTGTTTTTTGGCAACATGGAGGAAATTTTACTGTTTACAATTATTATTACAATGTGTTCCGGAGTCCCAGACCTGCTGTGTGGTAGTGGTGCAAAATGAGCTTATCAGAAATGGCTTTTTCTATCTGGAGTGGCTCCTGTGGCAAAGGTTAAAAAAACAACATATTTACTGGAAAGTAGATTCTAAGAGTAACCCACATTTTAAAACAAGCAAGTTTCTCAGTCGGCAAAAACAAGCACAGGACTACTTCTGTCATGCATGCATGACAGAAGCGCGACTTTCTCACACATCAGTAATGTTTGAAACCTTATGCAAATTCAAAAGGTGTCCCAACAATATGATTGTTATCTTAATTACTAAGAAAAGTATTCAAACTCGGTACATGCTGTCTTAAAAGATTTCATTCAATAGGGTTCTCTTCGAAATAAGAGGAATGCACAAGGCAAACTCATGAGATTTTGGTGTTCAGAAAATCATTTATGTGCTTATCACAACCATAGTTATACCGGTAATGTTTTACCACATTGCGAACAGGGTAGAATTTACGAAGTTTGCCTTTCAAGTCTCCTTGATTACCATTTGTTTAGAAACACAAAATATATTTTCTGCAAGAGCTTTTCGCCTGTAATAATAACTGCTTGAAAAGTTCTTAAAGAAATTTACAACATCGTAGCGTCTCATTTGTTTACACATGAAGTTTTTGCGGTTCAGTGTGGAGTTTGAATGAAACACAGATCACACCAGAAGGCGAAAACAACACTTGTGAAAGACAATGAATTTGGCATTCAGGAGCAAAAAGCATTGGAACCCAGGCAAACTACACTGTAGTTTGATTTTTCTACATGAACTGTTTCTTCACGGGCCTCATTATTTGAAGATGTTTTGTGATTGTCACATTATCTGCTAGCAGACTGTACAAGTGATCAGAAGGCTTTTTTCTGTAGGCGTCATGAACACGCAAGTACGTAATAAGCAAGGACGCTCGATACTATTTTCACAGTATAAGCAAACATAAATCCAGATCTAGTCTCATCTGTTCAAAATATATCTCTTCCCACTGCAGTGACTTATCTTATGGATAACATTGCAAGCAAGCGCTGAGCATTTCAACCACCAACAGGCACTGCAGCAACTTCTTGTGCCTTCTTGCGGCTTGCGGTAAGATTCATAAGTTCTTGCGGTTAGATTTTCAACTTCTTGTGGCTTCTTGCTGTTAGATTTTCAACTTCTTGTGGCTTCTTGTGGTTAGACTTTCAACTTCTTGCATTTCGAATGTTCTTGCGGGTAAACCGCCAAAACACGACAATTTTACTTCCCGTGGCGGCCCGTGTGTTGTTGCGATGCAAGAACTTCTTTCACCACTTCTTGCGCATGTATTATTTTTGGGCTGTACTGTAGGTCTTGCACTACTCGGCAGAATTGAAATCATTAAAATGTTTGCTATCCCCAAATTTATGTATAAGGCCTTCCTAATCTAAGTCTCAAAGGGTCTTATAAAAGATGGGAACACACTGCTCTTATAAATGACATAGAAATTGTTGCCTAAAGATGCTTGATATCTGATCTTTGATTTTGTCACAGAAAGTCATTGCATTGAAATGATTTATTGAAGATTACAGTAGCCCTTGGAAAAATGTCCTCGAAACGTTCATGGGTGACATTGGTGGGAAATCTATTTTGTACTACAATTTTGATACTTGTAAACTTCCTATTTACTACTGGACTTCTACAAAGAGTGTCTCAATGTGTAGTCTGATATAAATACAACACATGTGGGTTCTGATGACAATGTTGTAAAACAAACAATATGGAACAATAAGTTTATCCTTATTGAGAACAAGTTGCATTGTACAAAACATCTGGCTGTCCATGGAATTGTTAAAATAGGAGATTTAATATCTGACAATGGTAGGTTTCTCAAAAGTGACAAATTATTGCAAGTGTGACTATCTCCTGTCCACGTTTTTAAATTAATGGGCATCGTTAATTCTGTTCCTAACGAATGGAAGCTTATCATCAAATAAAGTCAGCAGCATAATTTTGTCCTCCCTTGAACGACACGTTTCAAATTAACATAGAAAGCACTAAGGTAAGTGTTTTGAAAGTCACCATGAAAATACTTTACGGTGAATTTAAATGCAAAAATATCCAGATCTTTCTCTGGAATGGAAAAAATGTACTCTCTTCTGTGTACCGTCACACATGATACAAAAATTAGGGAATTTCGGTACAAATTATTAAATGACATTGTTTTTACAAATGATAAATTATTTAGATTTAAAATGATTTGTTCTCCACTTCGTCAATTTTTGTCAAACAGAAGTTGAGTCCCCTGAGCAATACTCTTTCATTGTGATGTAACAAAATCTTTCTGGCAGTTGCTATTTCCCGGGATTATTGAACAAAGGATAACCTCAACATCCTTAACACTGGAAAATGTTATCTTTGGAGTATGCAATGTTGTAGAAGACTTTCATTATTCTAAACAATCTTATTTTTGTTAGCTAAATATTGAATTTGTAAATGTAAATTAAATATCATACATCCGTCTCTAGAGGCCCTTCACAGCCAAGGTTAAAGCAGGGTACCAGATTGAAGAAATTTTTACCCTGCTTCAGTTAATTTAGTCTTTTGTGATAGTGTATGTACCATAATTATTTGTTCGCCTGTAAGCCGATCTCGGCCATAAGCCAAGACCCATTGAGAATAACTCCGAGATTGCCAGAGAATACGGGATCAGTGAGTCCATGGTTTGTTGCTAGCGAAAGATCAAGTGAACCTCTTCAATGGCAAGCTGAAAATATCAGCAAAACGAAAGACAAGGGGCTGTTATATGCCGAAGTGTACTGAATTGGATCAAACACTTCTGGAGTGGTTTTCTGAGCAAATAAATCAGGTCAAGTCCTTCGTTTTGAATCAAAATTACAACGTGAAATCCAGCTGATTTCTGTCAGATCGCATTACAGTGTTTACCAAAGTTGTTGGAATGACCGTTTCTGGCTGGTCAGTCAAAACAATTGCTTCTCTTTTTGCTGCAGTTAGCGAATGTAATTCTGTGGTTAAAGGCAAAGGAGTTGTTTGGTTAAAAGCACTGTCAAGAAACCTGGTCCTCTGTTAAATAAAGCAGTCGTGCACAGAATTTCCAGCAGAGGTGGTGAGGGAATCGTTTAAAATGGACAGGATCTTGAACGCTCTTGATGGCACCGAAGATGACGAGGTCTACCCTGTCAGATGATATGCCCAAACTAGTGGATGAGGATGAGTTTTGAGACCCACAGCCAAGAACAAGACGACTGAAAACTCCATTGGTGAAGTAACCAAAACAAAACAAAGGAGCCATAACTTAAATAAAAGTTTGTGACCAACAGCAATTATTTATGCAAGCCAAATAGTTTGTTTGTTAGTAATTGCTTGACTTATAGCTGAATATAAACATTCAATTGAGGTTCTTGTAACGCTAGCAAATTTTTTGGCAGAAATATTTGGCTATAAGCCAAACCCCCTATCTGGTGGAGATTTCACTAGTTCCTGGTTTAATTTGGTGCAAAGATTGATCAGCTGATTGGCGAATAAATACAGTAGATACCTATTTATATAATAGGCCCCTCTGCTTCTTTTTGTTCTTTTTTGTGTGTGTCCACCCTTTGCATTTAGGTGATTTTTTTCTTTTTGATGTGAAATTGTAATACTAACATCATTGTAACTCTTCGCTTGTAACTACAACTACAAATAAAAAGAATAAGATACAAAAAGAAATAAATAAATACTACATGTTCAACTATTTTGCAAAGTGCCAGTAAAACAGAAAGCAAAGTCACGTTTTCCTTAATGTATATTGCATGCTCTGCATCTGAGAGAAGACAACTACGAGTGGTGTGCCGAAATGACGAGACCATATTCAGGTCAAATTGAAAATTCAGATAATTTCCTTTTTCATGTGGGCTTTCAAATGAGAAAAGAAATTTATGTTATGGGCACTTAAACCCTTTGACTGCCAAATTTTCACAAAAAATGTCATTTTAACCATTAAATCAGTTTTTGGCTGCCATGATGCTAAATATGCCTTTGGTTTGCTGAGAAAGCTATTTTTTACCAAAAAAGATAGATTTCTCCAAGATTAGGTACAAAAATGTACAATATTTTAATTTGGTGTACATGCATAAGCCAAAATTTGGATTTGTTTTGTTTTTGCCATTGCCCATTCCAAATTTTTTTCTTGCTTCTCTCCTTTACTTTTTCTGGGCCCTTTTACTCTCGCTACATTTTGCGTTTCATATTCTTTCAGGCTGCGGTAAAAAGTTGGGTTTTAACTATGGGCAAAGCCTGGAAATGGGACCTTGATCAATTATAGGTATAATGGGCCATTTTACCATCATTTTTGAGCCAATACTGATAACCTTTTTATTCAAGTTGCTACATCAGAATGCAATCAATATCCAAAGCAGCCTGTTGTGCAGATAGATCTATTCTAGCTGTACTATCTGCTCGTCAGGAATTCCTGGTGACATTTAAATTGATGACGTCATAAGCGGTGCAAAGAGCACGACCACTCAGGAGGTGTATATGGGCCATTGGCAGTCAAAGGGTTAAGGCTCATGAAAATGCCCACATTATCATGGAACACTTTCTGACAATTGAAGGAAGGTCAGAATGTACCTCTGGTCACTTCATGGAAGATTTGTTGTCTGTCTCAATACTGTCGAACAGATACAGTCCATGAATGGCTTGACATGACTAGTACACCATACAGACCTTGAAATAATGCTTTACAGATCGTACAGGTCAGAAAACAATGGTGACATGCATATTATTAGATGCGACTTGTACAAGCTGTGCAGGTCGTGAAACAATGCTTAATGGATCGAACAGGTCATAAAGCAATGGTGGACCTACATATCATCAGTACGACAGGTACTCTAACCTTACAACCCATACGGTTGGTATGGGTGGTGAAACAGTGGTTTATGAGTCGTACAGTTGGTGAAGTGCATATTATTATCGAGACTTAGGGTGTGTATACAAGTTGAAGACCCGTAAGACTCGTATGGGTCGTAAAACAATAGTACACAGATTATACAGTTGGCAAAATACTAATGATACTTGTGAGACAAACATGCTAAGGACAATGTATATTCCTCATTCTAAAACCGTGAATGTCCCAAAGGGCAAAGTACATTGAATATTTGAAAAGTGAACTGATCAACATGATCATGTGTGGGACAAAGAAAAAAATCTGAGTCCTTGACAGGAATCGAACCCATGACCTCGCAAACAACGCCCGGTGTCCTGGAGGTCATGGGTTCAATTCCTGTCAGGAACTCAGATTTTTTTCTTTGTCCAACGCTCACTTTTCACATCAGTGCTGATCCTAGCAGTATGCAGGACACCTGTCACATGAACTCAGCTAAATGACCTTGCTTTCCAGGAGTTCTCGTAGCTCAGCTGATAGAGTACCTGCCCGGTGTTTGGAAGGTCATGGGTGCAATTCCTGTCTGGGATTCAGATTTTTTTCTTTGTCCCACCTCGTCCCATACTCGTGCCATGTTCGTAAGTTCACTTTTCACATTTCATTACCAAGCTCAAAAATCCACTAACTTTATTCTTTATTCACTTATTACAATGAATGTTAATTGTTCTCAAAGTGCAAGAGCCAAAAAGTGCCATATACAGCGTGTTCTTTGGAGTCCTAAAGTGGGAGAGTCCAAAAGTGCTAAACACAATGTATATTCCTTGTTCTATTAGCGGGAGTGTTAATATATAGATTTAGCCAGGCCTTAAAGTGGAGCTCCTGATAACAATAATTAACCAAAAAGGAAAAAGAGGATTTTTTTTCCTGGATCAGAAACACAAAAAATCATCAATTGTGAGTATGTAATTGTTCAGCATGTGGTTTCACTATTTTTCAAGTTAAGTTTTCTTTAATTGATAACTTATATAGAATCCATGCACACTTACATACTTACTATACGAAATTACATTATTTCCACGCACAAATGAAACAAATAGCTAAATTAACATGTGTAACAACTAATTAATTCCTATTTTACACTCCTATTTTCATTGCTTCTAGTTATACTAAAAACATAGGCACGCAAGGCATGCAAGAGTTTTTTTTTGTGAACTAAAAGTCTTGGAGATAGGAGCATTCATGGAACTGTTTACAGTAATCATTTGATTAATTTGACAAGTTTTTTTGGTTGCGATGTACAGCATGAAAGAAACTGGGAGTTTATGATGTACATACGATGTTACATCAGTAATGGTAAGATAACTAAATAGTAAGCCATAAAATGTTTGACTGAACAAACTACAACAACCTGACACGTCTCCAGATTAATGTAGATACCATCTTATTTTCTAACAGGCAATTTGATTCATTCTTTGATACAACCCACACTGTGACTGGTGTGACACATGCATAACTTCCTCACTCACTGATCACATAGCCCTTCCAACCCCCAAAAGGAATTTTCACTCAAAAACAATCAAGTTAATAGAACTTTTCGCATTTTATACAAGTTGTAAGTTTACCCTTTTTACATAACACAACGCAACAACACTACTTCACCGAAAATAGAAAGAAAGAGAAAAAAACCTCTCTGACACTTTGAAAATCTGGTTTAGTTAAATTGCACTTCAACTTGGTGCCACAGTCTTAAAAGAACATTTGAACAGTTTTCATACTTTTTACCTTTAAAAATATCGGACTGAAAAGAATGTCATAAAATGCCCATCAAATAAAAACATTAAACTGCTACTGCAGAGATGTAAAAACCGTCCAGGAATGAAAGCTTCTTTTTTGTTTAATATCCTGGGAACAATAGCCGATAACTTGCCAGCTCTAATTGAATTTACTTCCATATAAAAAACAAAAGTGTTAAGTTATCATTTGTAACTAAAGATAATAAACATCTCGTGGGAGCAAGTGGTGATGATTCATCAGCTCTAATTGAATTTACTCCCTTGTAAAAATCAAGAGTATCAAATTACCCTTTATAACTAAAAAATAACTAGACGCTCTAAGAGCGTTTACTCGGGCTTTGTACCACAGTATCAAATCGAACTTTACGAAGACGCGTATTGGACACAATAAAAACAAATTAAATAAACAGCATATTTTAGCACAAGAGTTCCGCTTACATATTTACTATTCAAGTTGCTTCATTGAGTATCCTCATCCTATCGCAAGTTGTGAGTTTAAACCATTTTGGTTCGAGAATGAAGCGCAGCTGTCTATGCATTGATGGAGAAGTTGTTTGCAAAGAATTTTCGAGGTCTTTTTACAACTTATGGCGATTACTTTTTACATGCTAGTAGAAATTGTACAAAGTTTGTTTACTGGTCATGGTGATCCGAGTAAATTGTGTAGCTGAACATCTTTGCCATGTTGTGATCTTAAACCCTTTTCAAGAGTCAGATCTCCTTTGGAGAGCGAATAATCCCTTTCGCGAGAGCCAAAACAAATCATGATAAACTCCTTCGTGAAAACAACAGTCCTGTGACTAGGCTCAAATTGCATTGCACATAATTTGCATAAACTTTCAAGTTGTGTATTTTGCGGATAACTTCCAAGAATTTGCGACCCTTAATGCAGTTTATGAAGAAATATTCAAGCTACTTATTTTTATTGACGCAAGGCAGGAGTATAGCTGGTTTTCACATGACGTCACTAAAATTCCAACTACAAAACTATTGATCTTCCTGAGATTTTGCTTAAATGATGTATAAGAGCATCTGAAAACTAATATTCATACAAATTTTCGCTCTGAATGGGTTTTTGGTTTTGTGGTACGCTACGCTTGAATTTTTAAGCTTTTGCGTGACACGGCAGTTACGTGACAGCTTAGAGAGCTGTCATGATGGTTAAAAACATCTTATTTCGAGGAACTTGGCTATTTGAACAGTTCATGTCTTAGAAAAAGTATTATTTTAATGTTTTAGAGTTCCTTGAGGGATAAATTCACGTTTTTGTCGCAAAACTCAGTGACGGATGTTTCTGTTGTTTTCCGACCGCCATGTTGGATGGGCACCAGCACAGCGTCTCCATACAAATCTCTATAAATTTGGGTAAAAAATTTCTCTGCATATCTCGCATAAGAAAAATTGCTGTGATCAGAATTTTGGCCAAAGTCTTTGCATATATACCTGCTTTCATTTCCCAGATTCTGGACTTCACCTATTGACCGGTTTTGATTTTGATTTTGATCTATTTTGTATTGCGTGACACTGAAAACCAGCAATCCTTAAAAAGGACCCTCATTTATAAGGGAAGATGCGGCCCTGGGGAGGGGTGTACACCCGGAAAAATTGGGCGGGGATGTGTGGCCTGCTTCCCAAAATCCTCACCCTATTTATGACCAAAATCTGCGATATTCCCTACCCTATTTATGACCTGACCCTTTAATAAAAACCAGGCCTGTTTCAGACCTGCGTTACAATTACTTCCGTGGTTCAGACCAATGTTAAATTACTGTTAACATAATTTGTGAAGGGTTTTTGTTGACTTTCTTTTCGGTAGTGATCAAAAAGTGGCTTCTTCTTAAAAACATACCCATATCAAGGCTAGAGTGCAAAATCCACAGCCTATTTATGACCAAAATGGCTAAAAGCAGCTAAAATCAATACCCTTTTTATGACCAAAACAGCTGAAAAACCATACTCTTTAGGGCCGCACATACCTATATAGCCCATATGAGGGAGTACCCCCCCCCCCAGGGATGCGGCATTCTGTTTTGCTATTTATTTTGGTTTCATGCTCGTCTAGTTGATGTCACGCAACATGATTTTCTTTTGCAGTCAGACACAGTTCTAAAAGAATTGGCGATTGCTAAGACTGCTAAACATATTTGAACTACTGGTGAAATAACTGGCTAAACTATCGTCAATGCAGATTTTCCTTTGGACTTGGCAAGAACATTAGTTCGTCAATAATCCCGCCCAATTCCCCACACAATCAAAGGTTTAATTCTCCCACACAATGTGCCTCCAAATTTACACGTTATTTTTTTTTCCTGCACCCTATTAGAAAGCCAACCAACTTGGAGGTAAGATATTTAATTCAAGTTACCGAAAGTTTTATGTTTACAACTTTGGAGATCAACATATTTTGCACAGTGCAAGAAACAACTCGGATGTTTTTAATGAGCTACAACTCCAAAAACGTTTTCGCATTTAGCTCGTTCTATTGCAATATGATTTGTTTTACTGCAATGTTCTAAATAATAACAGCAGTAGCCACATACCATCATTGACTGCCTATTTTTTGCCATTTTTTTCATAGATTGAACTCATACCGCAATCGGCTCACTTGTTATCTCACAAGAATGTTTCGATCGTGAACTTTGCTTACCTGGCTGGCTTTCAAGCAATATAATTCGTGGACCGACCCTGTCTGAAAACGATTGACATCTTTGTATGTGAGATGAACGTATAAGGCAGGATTATTGCCAAAACTTTCTTTGCAAAACACCACATTCTGTCACGAAGAGTGAGCAATGTCGCATTTCTTGTCCCCAGTTTCCATGGTCTACGCATGGAAGGCCTGGGACCATGACCCCCCTTTTGGCGACCAAAACGCTTGCAGTTTATGACTCAGGCTTTCCTATGGAAGCCCGAGTAAAAATATCTTGTTATATTTGCATGCAACGAGAACAAAACAATTGTTACCTGCACTTACTATTGTAAACGTTAGAACTGTTTCAAATCTAAATAGTCTCATCTCCTCTAAACATGTCCTCAGAACTACAAGCGACGATTAGTGACCTCTAATTGAATTTACTCCTTGTGAAAAACAAAAGTATCAAGTTACCTTTGTAACTAAAAATAAACATATCTCGTTCCATTTGCAATGCAAGGCTCATTTCTTTCATAACTAGTCACCATTACACTGAACATTATGCACTCTAAAGCAACCCAATGTATGTATGTAACTATCACACTGCTCCAAACCAGACTAAAAATCACAAACCGGCAACATACACATCAGTCTTTATTTTTCAATTACCAAAGTCCTTGTGTTTAATACAGTAAAACGCTCAAGACTTCATATACCTCCTATAAGTTATCTTGAACAAAAATAATTTCCTTTTTCTTCAACTACAATTTGGTTGGCTATTAATGTGAATAAGCAAAAACCCTGATAACATTGAAGAGAAAAGATTTAGTTTCATTAAAGAGGCCCTGTTGGGGGGGGGTACCCATGTCCCCTGTCTGAAATTTGCTACCAGCCATGTCGGCATTTTGCAAGATTCCTATGTCGCCTGTCAGAATTTCGTCTCAGAGGAGCTGTGTCAGGAAATTTGACCTTGTTCGATGAAAACGAAGCTACACGTATAACACATCGTAATACCTTTGTTTATCAAAAAAAACCAACACAGTGGGCATGTACTAAAACCTGAAACCACGAAACGAAACAAGCGAAACGAGTGAAACGAAACCACCGAAACGACTGAAACAAGTGAAACGAGTAAAATATTAAGTAAATAAATAAAAAAGTTAAAAAAAGCCTCAATCTCTAGCATGTTACTATGGCAGCCGGATCTCGTACCCAGATGCTGCTCTTAAGCCACATGTGTGACATCGTGACATCACAAACCTGAAAGCCCGGGGGGTAGTTTGGGAATTTCTGGGTAGGGATGTGCCGCTAGGACCCTGGAACCTTAGTCTAGATAAAATCTTTAACCAACTGGTCAGTTTCGCGAAAAACGATACCCTATTCTAGACCCAAACACTCTGATTTATATACCCCATCCTAGAGTAAGCTGCTTGAAAATCATACCCTTCACCGCGGCACATACCTATATAGCCCATGTATGACAGTGCCCCCCCCCCCCAGGCCTGAAAGGTGGATGAGCGCAAGCCTGTTGAGCAGGAAGACATCAAGAAAAAGGTGGGTATTTTCACATTCTGAAAGGTATTCTAGTTAAAATAATAAATCTAATTTCAGAGAAAGGTTTTCTGGTCGTATCGTGGATGCTTAGATGGTGGCGAATTGAATGGTCTTTTTGAGAATGTGCATTCTTCATGCAAACCAGGACTTTCTTTAATATATATCTCTAAAGAAAAACAAGGGCGACTTGACAGGCTTTAATCATATTAACGTCAGGCCTTCGTGACTCCTGCAGTTCTCAAAGTAATTTCTTATTAGGCACTCAGCTTCACGGATACTCTTGAGATTGTGTTTCCGTACATCCTGGGCTCGATGTTGTCGATTCGCCACCGCCTAAGAATCCACGAAACGACCAGGAAACCTTTCTTTGAAATTACATTTCTTGTTCTAGCTAGAATCCCATTAAAAATGTGAAAAGTACTCACCTTTTTCTCGATGTCTTTGTGGTCGTGGTCGACACCCTTGCGCTCATTCATCTTTCAGGTTTGAGATGTAATGATGTCACACATGTGGATCTGGGTACAAGATCAGGCTGCCATAGTAACATACCAGAGATCAAGGCTGTTTTTTTTTCACTTTTTCATGTATTTACTTATTATTTGACTCGTTTCGGTCGTTTTGCTCGTTTCAGTGGTTTCGTTTTGGTGGTTTCATTTCACTCATTTCGGTGGTTTCATTTCGGTTGTTTCGTTTCGTTGTTTCGGGTTTTAGTACATGCCGACACAGTGCTATCAAGTCTCACACATTGAGCATGAGGCTCACGTAAACGAATTCAATCTTGCGCTCTCACACTGAAACTATTTCTCACGCATTGAAGGTTCCTTGCTGTTTTAGTCAAGTACATATATAATTAAGTATCTCTTGGTATATAGTTTACTCCTTTTACACTTTACACTTGCCTCGAACACTTTTCAGCAGTAGGAATTCTTATGCAGAGCCAGCATTTCTCCGGTCAGTAGGTTTAATGATTACTTTATGGTTACTTTTAAAGCATCACATTTCGACTCAGCATTTAGGAAAAGACTTCTTAGCTACTTAAATTTATCAAAATTTTCTAAGGGGCTGGGGGCATGCCGGGGGGCATATTGGGGGCATGCTTTCTAAGGGCTTGGGCATGCTTTCAAGTGCTGAAGTTGCTAATCTCCTAGGGGATGTGGGGGCATGCCTCCCCCTGAGAAACTTTGAAATTTAGATGCTTGGAATTGCTATTTTCAGCCATTTTCCAGTCAGTATTTGGACCTAAAGTACAATCGAACCTATGACTATTTTTACCATGTTTATGTTTAACAACCGTTCTTTAACTCAAAATCTCAATGGCCTCAATTAGATAATCTCTCCTATCTATAATCTTCCTTTGAATTTGATTTAACCCTTATCTTCTGCTAAAGACAAGAAGACCTTGGCAGCTTTCCCCTGTCCCTCCTTTCCATCCATAATGCCATTTGTTGATAATACAGCTTCATATTCTTTTACTCATGGTGACCCACTAATAAAAATATGAAGCAGACAGTCAAAGATCTCTTTCCTTTTTCCTTAAGCATGTTTTCAGGCGTTTTAGGGCACTGCTCACTCAGCGGAGAGTGAGAGAAAATACTCAGCAATGACGGACTCGATTTATTCCACATTGGACATTTTAGCATATATTAGAAAGCCTGGGTTTCATGACCTGTCGACATCACGTGTGAGAGAGGAAAACACATTTAAAACTCTGGAAATGCGTCTTCACTCCAATTCAGATGTTTAAAACAATCACTGCATTCTCAGTTCCAAAATTCGCTGTCGATCTATCTTGCCATAGGTGTCGCTTTCCCTATTTTGCTGGAGTAGTCTGTCGTTTGTCACTAATTCATAGCTTTTGTGTCACCGTTTCAAGGCTGTGTTGCTTGTCGGAATTTACCCCTAACAGGGTCTCATTAAAACGTATCTTCTCATTCCAGTCGTAAACAAGAACCATTATAATTGTAAAATCGTCACAGAATAATGTCTTTTTGTTCTGTTGACGAAATTAATCGTAGTCTCTTCGCTTTTAACATTCTTGAAACTTATCAATGGATGCTGAAATGAACGACACGGCTGGAACACTTATTACGAACTCTGCAGCAATATTTAAGTTTCAATACAACACTCAAACGATTTGAATGTGATCACAACCTCGTCACATTCCCAGTTGCACATCCCCCCCTAAAATACAATTGATCCTGTCATAGAAACCACATCAACTTGTTTTTCATTCACATCTTAAACTTAGTAGTAGAGCAGCTCAAAGACTCAATTCAAAAACTTATCTAATGGGAAAAGCTCACCCTTCATCGCATGCTGGTAGTTATATGGGAAACACCGTTTCTTTGACTGATTATCCAGTTGCATATGATATCAAACCCGCCCAAAAAAAACCTCAGCCTAACCCACAAAAATGTCCAAGTAAGCCCAATATATGAATACTTCCTCCTCCTTTATAGAATAAATATGGCTGTTCTGATCTGTATCGAGGTCAAATCTTTTCACATACCATTTACCTTTACATCAAGAAATTTGATTGGTTGTTTGTTTTAGATCCAATCTGATTGCTGTGACATACATACATCTCTCACTCACTTACTCACTCATCCATTGAACCATCCATAACATACCCCAACGCACCGACTAAGAGGTATTTTTTTTACCAAAAAAATAACTCAAAAATTGTCAAGAGTTTACTTTGAGATTGACTATAAATTCATCAGCCATGCAAGAATATTAATTGGGAGATAAAAACAAGGAGAAGATAACACTATAATTGGGTTGTACAGCAACAGCAGAAAAAAGATAAAAGGAGAAGAGAAATAACGAAGTTAACATGTGTAATTATTAGCTCTGCAACCAATGTTTTACATTCCTATCAACATCACTACTACAACTCTACAAAAGATTTTCGAAAGTATACTTAGGCTTCAGATAAACTATAAATTCTTTTACCGATAACTCACCAGGCATTAATTTCTGATTGTACAAATAATATTTGGCATGTAAAAAAGTGAAGTTTAACTTTCTGATAATGTTAGATTCCTTGCTTAAAGTGTCAACTTTGATACCGAAAATTAATTCAGTTGGAGAAAGGCTGAAGGAGGTGACATTTTCTTTGTTGAACCATTATATTAAATGTAAATTCTAGGAGAAATGTATACTCGGAAAAAATGCGAGTCCCAGATGGGATTTGAACCCACGACCCTCCGAGATCTAGTTGGATGCTCTAACCACTGAGCTACTGTAGACTCTATGGTGAGCAAGGGTCAAATTGTGGGAATAGACTGGAACCGCATCGCGTGGCTACACAGCCATGTACCGCAGACTCATATGAACTTGCTAACAGCATCATGCTGTCACAAAGGCAAATCGAGATGCATCCAACCAACTTCTCAAGTGAGTATACTAATCGAGAAACAACAACAACATGATATTAAGTGTAAATTTTTTCCGAGTGTACATTTCTCCCAGAATTTACACTTAATGTCATGTTTTTGTTGTTTCTCCGTTAGTATACTCGCTTGGGAGGTTGGTTGGATGCATCTTGATATGCCTTAACCCATTGACTCCCGAAAGAAATTGCACGCAACCCACCACTAAATTCCAGTCGATTTTTTAACATTTCAGAACGAGCTTAAGCACTACAAATAGACCGTATACGCAGTAGCCACACACACAAGATTAACTTTCAATTGAATAAATGAAGGGTCAAAATATTAAAAAATATCAACAGAAAGAACTCTACTTGATGTTTAAAACTGATGAGAAAACAAGAAGTTATATTATTGCTTTGCCAGGCAACAGAAGCCAAGAAAATTGAATATGCGAAAATGAGTTATTATTGACTTCGGAGGACCAATTGAAACCAAATACAACAAAACTTCCATTTTTGTACCATAATGGCTAGCATTTGAGAAAACAACGGAAAATGAAGGCAAAAGGCACATGTAAAAATCAATTTGAAATCAAGAAATCAAATAATTTCTTTGCTGCATGACAAAATATTACAGTGCTGCGAAGGAAAAATTAAAGCTAAAGGTCAAAAAGACCACAAAAAAAGCTAATTATTTTGAGATCAATCATATTTCAACTGTGCCAAATTAGTGGCCACTTAGTTCTTTTCTTGGCAGTTCTGTAGTAGCTGAATAAGACTCCAAAAAATATATTTGAACAAAGCGAATAAACTAATCAAACAAACTGTGGAGGTCACCGTAAATTAAATATGCAGAAATCCAGTGTGCAAAAATACTGAAATGAAAGAAATGAAAGAAATACGAAAGGAAGTTCAATAGCAAAGAATTTTCATTCACGCTGAGGCAAAAAAACCTATTTAGAAACAAAAAAATGTTCAAAACTTCACAGACATGTTTCGCTGCATGACTGCATGTTCAAATTAATTCTTCACACTTAAGTGAAAGCTCTGAGTTTCTCCCGACCACTTTTGCGGTCATTTTATCGGCCATCGGGTTACCAATCGTTCCAAAAGTTGAATTCAACTTTGGAGCAATAATGTACATTACCATTTTTGTTTTCCAGGAAACTGCTTTAAGTCCGTGATCTGTATTCAAAACTTACTTGAAAGTGCACTGATCGTCATGTTTTCACAGCAGTTAAAGTAAGGAAAAATTCTTCACCAGAAAGGTTTGAGGACTCTGTGCTCCTTGATCTTCCATTCTGAGACCACTTAAACATTAATTTGTATTTTTCTTTTCTATTGTAAATCCCAAAGCGGTAATTTCTCTGTGTTCGGAATGAAAACAAAGCCTTTGAAGTTTGTAGATTTGGCCCGCAGTGCACCATGATAACCTGCACGTTATGAGTCTTTCTAGGACCCCTAAAGTCCTCTAAGAATATGCTCAGTAAGTCGATTCTGATTGGTTTATTTGTCCTCAAGAACAATAAGAGAACCAAAAATAGTCTTCAGGAAGGGTAAGAAAGGCTATTGTCCTCACCTGCTTTTTTTCAGGCAGTTACGGGTGGCACGGGAAATTGGAGGGGTTTTTCGTACAGGCGGCACGGGAGTCAATGGGTTAATGTGACAGCATGATACTGTTAGTGAGTTTATGTGAGTCTGCAGTACGTGGCTGTGTAGCCGCGTGATGCGGTTCCAGCTGATACCCACAATTTGACCTTTGCTCTCCAAAGAGTCTCCAGTAGCTCAGTGGTTAGAGCAGTTAACTAGATCACGGAGGGTCGTGGGTTCAAATCCCATCTGGGACTGGAATTTTTTCCTAGTATACATTTCTCCCAGAATTTGCACTTAATATCATGTTGTTGTCGAACCATTTTATGACCTCTGAAAAGAATAATTGGCTCCAATTACAGCAGTAGAAAGTGTGAATCATGGAATCATTCATTCCACAATATGTACACTTTGTGTCTTCTGCCTTACCAAAATAATTCCGTTTTGGTGACCACTATTCTATGTAAAAGTTTGAAATAGAATTCCCTAAGTTTTTTATCTTTACATACACTTTTAACCCGACTAAAAAAGGGTTTCAGAGGTGTTCGATACATTTGCAGGTCTCTTTCCCATTTTGAGTTAGCCTTCAGTTCCATTGGTTCTTTGCTTATGAGGAGCCGATAATAGTCTATTTTTCATTTTAGTTAAATTTATAGAGATCTCTGGGGAAAGCTGAAACACACTATTTAATAGCATATCTGATCTCTCTGTGGGGTTAACCCTCACCTTTTCTGCAAGGTACCTAGGAAGAGCAGAAACCACTTGGAAATAAATGAGAAAATTGCATCTAAGTGTACTCAAGATTGTAGAAATTACCCAATTAATATATCAAGGACTTTCCAAGAGACGATTGTGCAAGGAACATGTTGGAAGAAACATCAACAATGCACCAGGGGTTAATAGACCAATTTCGACATATTAGAATTCAGCCTAAAACAATAGACCTCGGTATGAGGCTCTGGGGAATAACTACAGAGTTTGCAGGATTTATTACCCAGAGCCTCGTGCTGAGGGCTATTGTGTTAAGCTGAATTTTATATCGCAATTTGCCTATTTGCATGGAAATTTTGCCTTAACACATGCTCCCTCCCTCTTCCCCCCAGAATACTGGTGATACTGGTCAACGGATACCTTGCTTTGACAGCTGTCAACAAATTGTAAAATGGGTGTCCAATATCAAAGATGTACCTATGGTAATGATGCTACTCTGTTATATTTCAAGTTATAGGGCTTAGCGCACAGACATACAGATGTACATACGAACATACGTACCTTACAGACATTCTTGGGTTACAAATTTTCTAAGGTATGGGGCTTCGCTCACATGCCTTCGGTGTGCAGGAGCTCTGCTGTAATTGATGGTTTGAAATTTGATGGTGAGAACAAATTACACTGCTAATTGATAATTAACAATATTGTTATACCAATCACAAAAAGTCTGGGAGCAAATGTCATAAAATTAAGTTCCGTGGGAATTTTGTGCTGAAAGCAAGCCACCAGTCTAAAAGTGTTCATTAGGGTCTAGTAAACATGAAAAGTTTTGGTGGCAACTCTGCAACTTGCTAGGATGGGTTTTAAGGAGGATTGAAAATCGGACATGTATGAGCCAACATGAAAACAAGGCTGCTACATTAAACTTTTTATAACCTCATTAATGACCATCGGTTAACCACCAAATTTGGCAGATATTTGTAAGTTGATTATTTAGTGACAAGTGCTGATTATGAAGTGGTCACGTGATTTTCTAGCGTGAAAATAAGGCTGGAGTAGAAAAACACATATAACCGTTTTTGAATGTTCACAATGGCTTGTCAAACTTTCTCAAAATTAATCCCTCGATGATATGGTCGCACTGATGATATTCTCATTTGTCAGGTGGTCAAATTTCCTGCACGGAAACGACGCTCTAAGCAACCATTCATTTCATGATAAATTTACACTGGTAGCAACCTACATAAATAAAAAAAGATAAAAAAGAAACAACAGTAGTAACAATGAAAATGGCCATATTTTTCACCTTTCATTGGCGAAGTAATCGTCTAAGGACGCTTACCATATCTAATTTCATCATCCTCTTCATCCTCAAAATCGCTGTCATCATCATCACATTTGCCTTGTTGATTCTCACATTCATCATCATCATCGGAACAGCTGCAGAGGTCTGTGCATTGGTGAAAGAGTTGAAAGAGTTGGCATGACAGGGATCCACTCATCATTTTCCATTGTCCAACCATACCCTCGTGGTGACGGTAAAACAGGATTAGGTACACAGTCATTGTTCCAAACCATCAACTGGTACTGTGCTCGTAGTATGGCTTGGTGCAGAGCTGCCTTAGTTGGTGGTAATCTTTCAGATTCAGCTTGTCTCTTAAACAATGACCACCTGAGCTCTTTGACAGCTTTAATTGTGGCCTTTGGCTGGTACAGCTGGCAGACGAATTGCTCAATCCCATCAAGGGTTTCTTCGTCAGGTTTTTTATCTTTACCCAGATTGGCTAAGAATCTGAGGATCGACTCATTGGCCTCTTCAAATTCTTTCCAGCAAGTTGGTTTCCCTTTTCCTGAGAAACTACCCGTGTTATCAGCCCCTGTTAAGGCATGGAATGCTGGTAGTGCAATATGGTAGTGTAATATGGCAGTAAATGGGTTCTTCTTCTCGTCGCTCGCTCTGAGTATTACATTTGCTCCCAGACTGTAAACCCACTTACGAAAATATCTTGTAATATAGTAAACCCATTTTCTAAATCAGTTCTTTGTGGTTCTCTGCATAAATACTGCAACTAAGTTAACATAAAAACACAAATAGCTGTTGACAAGCAATAAGCACATGTCCCTAGTTTTCCCATCCTTTGAATCACATACAAGTTGTCATGCAGAGTTAAACCCAAATGTATGACTTGTACGACTTGTACAGGTGGTCAACTTGTATATACACCTTAAGTCTCGCTAATGATATGCACTTCATGAACTGTACAACTCGTAAACCTTTGTTTCACAACTGGTGTGAGTCATACGGGTTGTTGACTTGTATCTACACCTGAAGTCACACAAATGATATGCACTTCACCAACTGTACCACTCTTAAACCATTGTTTCATGACCTGTATGGGTTGTACGGGTTGTCAACTTGTATATACACCCTAAGAGTAGCTAATGATATGCACCTCACCAACTGTAGGACTAGTAAACCATTGTTTCACAACCCATACAAGTTGCACAAAATGGAAGATGCCATTCAATGGTTGTATCAGTGCATGTATATTGGACAACCCTTGTCTGTTCCACTGCTTTCTAAGGTTACTGGGGAAGTCAATGGTAAACCTACGAAAGGTGAAGATAACTCTGACAAAGAGCACAGTAGAGAAGTAGAAACCAAGAAAAATACTTGTAAAACAGGCTTCTAAATGTCTGCAATCTAGATGTAAGGTACAGTCAAAGAAGGCAAGGTACATGTATAGAGTTCTTCAAATATTTGTCTGCAGCAAAGTGCACATGTACTTCCTGCGTGCTTTTGGCTGAAGGTATATTGAAATGTCTTGGCTAAAAATTTACAACTTTCTTCTCATTCTGTCATTACATGATGATCATTTCCTTTCCTTTACCCCTTACTCCCTCTATCTACATATCCTGTTTTGCTTATTTTCTTTGAAAACATACATGACTTGTGTGGTGATAGGACCAAAGAAAAAACGACAACCAACTTGATCATGACATTAGCAGGAGTGAGTCTTCAGAGAAATCCTTACCATCTGCCTTCAATGTGAGCAGCAGGTTAGCAGCTAGTAAAGGAAAATCTCTGGCTAAGTCTTTGTCAAATGGTGCAAAGAGTCGTAAAGCCATAAGAGAAAAGGTTTTCTCAAAGGGACATTTCCATTCGCCTGTAGAGGTAAGTGTAATCTGTTTAGACATAAACTAAAAACCTGGTTTTAGTCAGCAGAACTCCAATATTTACTTGTGTTTATTTGGGTGACCAACCTACCAGAGCAAGAGTTACTTTTTCACAATGGCCAGGTAGACAGGTAGAGTGGTTGGCCAACACTACACTGTAATAACTAGTGCAAAATAGGAAAATGACATACACCAATGGGTATCCGTTGAACAGTTAAAAACCGTTCACTCGCTGTTTTATCGTCCATTTGTCATGCATTCGAGATTGGAAAAGTAGTTAGGAAAGTAGTTACCAAGACCCTGTTACAAGCTGTTACATAACATTTCCACATGGCATTTCACATGACTGAAAAACACATATTTAAGGTTACAGTATACCTTCAGGGGTGTCTTGCACGCAAGCAATGTAGTGCGTGCAGTTTAAGCTGTAGATACCTAAACCCCTATATCAAATTAAAGCTTATGGAGCTGGCTATCAAACTATACCAAGAATTTTGAAAGAA